TTACCTGAGGGAATCTTTCAAAGACTAATCCTAATGATCTAAAGGTATACTTCATGCTTCTTTTTTCCTATCACAAATCACAGTCCACACTCTTCTGCTTTTCTAGGGAACTACAGGTTATTGAATTAGAATAAAATGAGTGTTTTTGTCTTAAAAAATATGATTCATCTCCAATAATCTATGCCAGTTTGCATGTGACATTTTCTCCAGATCTTTATGACTATAAGTTACTTTATCCTTGCACATTTTTTCTTAGAATAAAAAAAAAAAACATCATTTTTAGTATCCTTCCATCATCAGTAATCAGTTAATTTTTGTAATACCACTGAAGTTTTTTAAAAAAATTCCTTTCTCTGTGAATCACAAGATTTATACTTTCAATATTATGGCAAACTAAAGCATCTTGACTGAACATCTACCTGAAAATAATTTAAAATGCTGAATAAAATTTGCAAATAGTATTTATAAATGCTCTGAAAACCTATCAAAATAAGTAAGGACCAAACAGAAACTGAAGACGTAAAGCCAGAAAAATGAACAGAAGTAAACCCTAGAGTGTTTACTCTTAAGCTTGTTTTTTTTGGTTCCTTAGGGCATAAAAATGAGAACCCTCCTCCCCGCCAAAAGGTGAGGAAGGACTCACAAGGTAGGAAATTCAATAAATAAACAATTTCACAGCATAAAGCTTGGATCACAATAACTATATTGCCTGATTGTAGCATGAATTAGACATAAACATTCTCCTTGACAGGATCTACAAAATAAATCCATGCCTTAAAATGCAGTGATTAATTAAATAGAAAAAATGTCTAATAATAATTCAGACCTCAATCAGGCTTGCTATCTTAATTTTCACTACTAGAGTAGTGACAAACTTCAAACGGAGAATTCAGCTTAATTCAAGTGATCACAGTTACTTGGTAAATGAAAAATCTCTGTGGAAGGGTTTGCATCCAAACTACATCTCAAAATACTATCACATTAAAGTGTAGAAATACATGTGAGCACATTTAAAAATATCTCAAAATCCTAAAGAAAAAATGTTCCATATTCTAGAGTCTCCAGAGAAAGCAGACTTAATCGCTAAAAATACTATGCATAATATACATGACATCCAGTCCTGTCAGACCCTGTGACCCTATGGACTGTAGCCTGCCAGGCTCCTCTGTTCATGGGATTCTCTAGGCAAGAATACTGAAGTGGGTTGCCATGCCCTCCTCCAGGGGATCTTCCCAACCCAGGGATGGAACCTGGGTCTCTTATGCCTCCTGCATTGGCAGGCAGGTTCTTTACCATTAGCACTACCTGGGAAGCTTGTAAGTATGTATACTATACCTAAAACATAAAGAGAAGAAGGGAAATATGAGGAACTAGCAAAGAACTATAAAAATAATCAAGAATATATGGAGAAAAAATAGGACTACTAGAGCTGACTACTGAGAAGAAGCATTGGAAGATAAAAGACAATTGAAAAAGTTTCTTGAATGGTTTCAAAAGAAAATAACTGTTATCCTAGGACTGTATATATCTCTTTTAAGAGCAAGTATGAACCTCAGCTATTTTTAAACAAAATAGAATTCAGTGAATTTATAGCCAAGAATGGGCTTCTGTGGTGGCTCAGTGGTAAAGAATCCGCCTCACTATGCAGAAGATCTAAGTTCAATCCCTAGGTTGGGAAGATCCCTTGGAGAAGGAAATGGCAACCCACTCTAGAACTCTTGTCTAGGATACCCCACGGACAGAGGAATCTGGAGGGCAATAGTCCATGGGGTCACAATAGAGTCAGACACGACTTAGCAACTAAAAACCAACAAAAACATAGGCAAGCACCTTTGTTCAGGAATTTCTGAAAGATGAAGGAGAATAACCAAACATGAGATGAATGAAGAAATAACAAGGGAAGTTGTAAATATGCAAAAAGTTAATAAATATTTACTTAATATCTTAATATTATCAATAAGTCAATAATAGTAATATTAAAAAACTTAAATAACAAATGCAAATGATGATAGCATTGATCAGGAAGCTGAGAATTTAGGTTAAAGTCCCCTGATGTACTTTTATTATTCAGGAAGAAAGTACATCTCCAGTAGCTTCACACTGTTTATAATAGATAATTAATACAATATAGTGCAATATCTATAATATGAGAAATATTGTCCCATGACTTCTAAGATATTTATTATGTGATTACAATGTATTCCTAATTTGGTTTTCAATATTTCTTTCTTCTTTCAATATGGTTATTTATTCGGGCTTATTTTTTCTTTGTGCCAATTCCTACACCTTAGCATACTGCAGTGTGTTAAAACTCTTCCCTGTTGTTGTTCAGTCATCTAGTCACATCTGACTCTTTGTGACCCCATGGACTGCAACACGCCAGGCCTCCCTGTCCCCCACCATTTCCCGAAGTTTGCCCAAGTTCATGTCTATTGCTTCAGTGATGAAAGTAAAATCTGAAGCTACAAAGAACAGTATAGCATAGGGACCTGGAACGTCAGGTCCATGAATCAAAGTAAATTGAATGTGGTCATGCAGAAGATGGTAAGAATAAACTCTTCCCTATTTTGCCTCAAACTCCATACATCTCCAGATGAAGTTTTACTTGTTGCAGGAAACTTTATCCCAGTCAACCTCACACAAAACTTGGCCTTCTCTGCATTTCTATTGCACTTAAAGCCAGTTCTATAAGTTTAGCATTTAATTTTTGCTAAATTATTACAATCCCATGTTTTTAACCCTCTTTCCTCAAGTTGATTATAAAGTCTATAAGAGCAAAATTCATCCTATAAATTCCTTGTAAACCAACAGATTTAAATATCTGTTAATAACAGATAAACAATAACATTGTTTTAGGAAAATATATAATACATAAGCAAAATGATGCAAAGCAACACTTCCACACAATTTCTCTCTACATGTCTATGGCATATAATATCTATGCTCAAAAACTTCTTGCTGACACCAAAAGCAAAGTGTACTAGTAGAATGCAAGGTATGTTCATAGTTCCCTGCTTTACCTGAGGGAATCTTTCAAAGACTAATCCTAATGATCTAAAGGTATACTTCATGCTTCTTTTTTCCTATCACAAATCACAGTCCACACTCTTCTGCTTTTCTAGGGAACTACAGGTTATTGAATTAGAATAAAATGAGTGTTTTTGTCTTAAAAAATATGATTCATCTCCAATAATCTATGCCAGTTTGCATGTGACATTTTCTCCAGATCTTTATGACTAAAAGATAAGTTACTTTATCCTTGCACATTTTTTCTTAGAATAAAAAAAAAAAACATCATTTTTAGTATCCTTCTAGAAATGTTCCATATTCTAGAGTCTCCAGAGAAAGCAGACTTAAACGCTAAAAATACTATGCATAATATACATGACATCCAGTCCTGTCAGACCCTGTGACCCTATGGACTGTAGCCTGCCAGGCTCCTCTGTTCATGGGATTCTCTAGGCAAGAATACTGAAGTGGGTTGCCATGCCCTCCTCCAGGGGATCTTCCCAACCCAGGGATGGAACCTGGGTCTCTTATGCCTCCTGCATTGGCAGGCAGGTTCTTTACCATTAGCACTACCTGGGAAGCTTGTAAGTATGTATACTNTCCTCTGTTCATCGGATTCTCTAGGCAAGAATACTGGAGTGGGTTGCCATGCCCTCCTCCAGGGGATCTTCCCAACCCAGGGATGGAACCTGGGTCTCTTATGCCTCCTGCATTGGCAGGCAGATTCTTTACCATTAGCACCACCTGGGAAGCTTGTAAGTATGTATACTATACCTAAAATGTAAAGAGAAGAATGGAAATATGAGGAACTAGCAAAGAACTATAAAAATAATCAAGAATATATTGAGAAAAAAATAGGACTACTAGAGCTGACTACTGAGAAGAAGTATTGGAAGATAAAAGACAATTGAAAAAGTTTCTTGAATGGTTTCAAAAGAAAATAACTGTTATCCTAGGACTGTATATATCTCTTTTAAGAGCAAGTATGAACCTCAGCTATTTTTAAACAAAATAGAATTCAGTGAATTTATAGCCAAGAATGGGCTTCTGTGGTGGCTCAGTGGTAAAGAATCTGCCTCACTATGCAGAAGATCTAAGTTCAATCCCTAGGTTGGGAAGATCCCTTGGAGAAGGAAATGGCAACCCACTCTAGAACTCTTGCCTAGGATACCCCACGGACAGAGGAATCTGGAGGGCAATAGTCCATGGGGTCACAAAAGAGTCAGACACCACTTAGCAACTAAAAACCAACAAAAACATAGGCAAGCACCTTTGTTCAGGAATTTCTGAAAGATGAAGGAGAATAACCAAACATGAGATGAATGAAGAAATAACAAGGGAAGTTGTAAATATGCAAAAAGTTAATAAATATTTACTTAATATCTTAATATTATCAATAAGTCAATAATAGTAATATTAAAAAACTTAAATAACAAATGCAAATGATGATAGCATTGATCAGGAAGCTGAGAATTTAGGTTAAAGTCCCCTGATGTACTTTTATTATTCAGGAAGAAAGTACAGGATGCTTTAAAGTAAATAGAATTTGATAAGTTACATAAAAATATTTACAAATTTCTAGGAAACTAAAATTCTTAAGGACTTTATATCTAAAAGATAAGGAAGATTGTGGAATGATGTTTTAAAAATATAAGCAATTCCAAAGACACTAAAGAAAAAACAGTGGAGCACGTGAGAAGCACTAAATAAGTGATCAAATTAAATCCAGAGCAACAGTTACAAAAATACACATTAATAAAATAAATGTTGCTGTCGCTGCTATTGTTTAGCTGCTAAGTCATGTCTGACTCTTTTGTGACTGCCAGGCTCCTCTGTTCATAGGACCGTAGCCCGCCAGCCTCCTCTGTTGATGGGACTTCCCAGGCAGGAATACTTGAGTGAGTTGCCATTTCCTTCTTCACGGGATCTTCCTGACAAGATGATCCCAACAGGTATCAAACTCACAACTCCTGCATTGCAGGTGGATTCTTTACCACTGAGCCACCAGGGAAGCTGGTGAACTAAATTCTGCAGATTAAAAACAAACTGTCATTCTGTATAAAGAATAAAATTCATACATAGCTATTTAAAAGACATTAAAATTTAAAGATTTAGAAAATTCAAAAAATGGAAAGTTACACTAAAGGAAACAAAAATGACTAATGCAAACCAGTGTATCTACATTATTGGTAAACATATCTGAAAGTCATCACTGTACAATAATAAAAGGTTCAATTGATTAGGAAGATACAATAATCTCAGTATTTAATACTGGAGTGGGTTGCCATTTCCTTCTCCAGAGGATGTTCCTGACCCAAGAATGGAACCCCAGTCTCCTGCATTGCAGGCAGATTCTTTACCAACTGAGCTATGAGGGAAGTGTAGCAACATCGGTATATTGTGACAAACATACCACAGTAATGTAAAATATGGGGTTCCCTGGTGGTTCAGAGGGTAAAGAAATTGCCTGCAATGCAGGAGACCTGGGTTTGATTCCTAGATTAGGAAGATTCCCCCAGAGATGGTAATGGTTACCCACTCCAGTATTCTCACATGGAGAATTCCATGGACACAGGAGCCTGGTTTGTAACAAGTCTATGGGGTTGCAAAGAATTGGGCACGACTAAGCTAAGAACATACACACACAATGCAAAATATGAATATTAAAGGAAAGTGGGTGAGGAATATGCAAAATTCGCTGCAGAATTTTCTCAACATTTTTGTAAAGCTAAAATTCTTATTCAAAACAAGGCAACGTATAAAAAGAAAACCAGGCTGAGTATTCTAGGTTAAAAGTGACAAAAATTAGGACAACTAAACTCAATGTACAATTTTTGACTAAAATTCTAGACTAGAGAATGATAGCTATAAAAATTGGGACAACTGGTGTAATTTGAATATAGAATGTGGAGTATATAACTTCATTATTTTCTTGCAAAGTTTCCTGATTTTGATTATTGAACTATGATTCTATAAAAGAACATGCTTATAAGAAAGGCACATTCATTCTGTTTGCTGTTTCCTTTGAGGTTCAAAAGCCTTTAAACTTAATTAGGTCCCATTTTTAAATTTTTATTATCACTATTCTAGAGGTAGATCAAAAAATAAAATAAAATATATGCAAACAAAGTGACTGATAAGGCATTAATCTCCAAAATACACAAATAGCTCAAACAACTCAGTATCAAATAAGTAAACAACCTAAACAAAATAGGGCAAAGGATCTAAATAGATATTTCTCCAACACAGAGACAGTCAAAAATAACATGAAAAGATGCTCAACATCACTAATTATTCAAAGTGAAAGTGAAGTCGCTCAGTCGTGTCTGACTCTTTGCAACCCCATAGGCTACCAGGCTCTTCCCTCCATCGATGGGATTTTCCAGGCAAGAGCACTGGAGTGGGTTGCCATTTCCTTCTCCATTTCTTTATCCACTAAGTATAAGATTTCCTTATCCACTAATCATTAGATAAACACAAATCAAAATTACAATGAGGTATTACCTCACATCAATCAGAACACTGTTCTGTCACTAAGTCATGTCTGACTCTTTATGACCCCATGGACTGCAGCCACTAGGCTTCCCTATCTTTCACTATCTCCAAGAATTTCCTCAGATTCATGCCCGTTGAGTTGATGATGCTATCTAAACATCTCAACTTCTGCTGGTCCCTTCTCCTTTTGCCTTCAATCTCTCCCAGCATCAGAGTCTTTTCCAGTGAGTTGGCTCTTGATATCAGGTGGCCAAAGAATCAGAAATTCAGCTTCAGCATCAGTCACTCCAATAAATATTCAGGGTTGATTTCCTTTAGGATTGACTGGTGTGATCTCCTTGCAGTGCAAGGGAATCTCAAGAGTCTTCTCTAGCACAAAAATTTGAAAGCATTTATTCTTCAATGCTTAGCCTTCTTTACGGTTCAACTCTCAAATTTGTATGACTACTGAACCATAGCTTTCACTTAACAGAATTTTGTCAGCAAAAAAAATGTCTCTGCTTTTTAATAAGCTGTCTAGGTTTGTCATAGCTTTCTTTCCAAGGAGCAAGTGACTTTTAACTTCATGACTGCAGACACTATCTGCAGTGATTTTGGAGCCCAAGAAAATAAAATTGGTCACTGTTTTCACTTTTCCCCCTTCTATTTGCCATGAAGTGATGGGATCAGATACCATGATCTTACTTTCCTTAATGTTGAGTTTTAAGCCAGCTTTTTCACTCTCCTCTTTCACCCTGATCAAGAGGCTCTTTAGTTCCTCTTTACTTTCTGCCATTATAGTGCCATTATAGTGTCATATACCACTATAATGCAACCTCATCTACATATCTGAGGTTGTTGATATTTCTCCCAGAAATCTTGATTTCAGCATGTGATATATCCAGCTCAGCATTTCACATGAAGTACTCCGCATAGAAGTTAAATAACCAGAATGACAATATATTAGCCTTGACATTCTCCTTTCCCAGTTTTAAACTAGTCAGTTGTTCCATGTCCGGATCTAACTGACTCGTACAGGTTTCTCAGGAGACAGGTATGGTGGTCTGGTATTCCCATTTCTTTAATATTTTTCACAGCTATTTTGTGATCCACACAGTCAAAGTCTTTAACATAGTCAATGAAGTAGAAGTAGATGATTTTCTAGAATTCCCTTGTTTCTCTATGATACGACAAACGTTGGCAATTTGATCTCCACTTCCTCTACCTCTTCTAAAGCCAGCTTGTACATCTCAAAGTTCTCAGTTCATGTAATGCTAAAGCCTTGCTTGGAAAACTTTGAGCATGGCCTTACTAGCATATGAAATGAGTGTAACTGAATGATAATTTGAACATCTTTGGCATTGCCCTTCTTTGGGACTAGAATGAATACTGAGCTTTTCCAGTCCTGTGGCCACTACTGAGTTTTCCAAATTGGCTGACATATTGAGGGCAGCACTTTAGCAGCACCACCTCTTAGGATTTTAAATAGCTCAGCTGGAATTCCATCACCTCAACTATCTTTGCTTAAAGTAATCTTCCTAAGGTGTCAGTTGACTTCACACTTCAGGATGCCTGGTTATCCAGGTCATTAAGATCTTTTCTGTATAGTTCTTCTGTGTATTCTTTTCACCTTTTCTTAATCTCTTTTGCTTCTGTTAAGTCTTGAGTTCTAAGTGAAAGATGAAAACTTGTCCTTTAATTATACATGTTTTATAAATGGACTCTATACCATTTAATTTGATCACCTATAGGCCTGAGAAAAATTACTTGTTTTTCTTATTACAAGCCGGTTTCAGGTCAGCCAGGTTTGTAGGTATCCTATTTAAATACGAATTGTTAGTAGAGGGCTTTTGATTGATACCTCTGAAAATATTAATGCTATGGATAAGTTGAACATAGTTTATTCACTTTTTTTAAAGCATCTTCCTTTTGAATAAATTCATTTTATGTTTTCTTCTATTTCTACAGTACTATTTAGTTATACTGCAATGGTGCAATCCTCACTCTTAATATCAAACACAGAAAAAGAATCTAAAAAGCATGGGTATATGTACATGTATAACTGATTCACGTTGCTATACACCTGAAACCTCTAAGACATTGTAAATCAACTGTACTCCAATTAAAAAAAAACTTTCAAATAAATAAAAAATTAAAAAATCACGTTTGTCAAAAATTTTTTCAAAAATTTGCTTGTGATAAACTAGATCTATCCATCTACCTATAAAACCATTATGTTGCTAATACTGCTAAAAGTATACTTTGCATTTGTAATACAGTAAAACACCATATGTAGAAACAATATAATCTAAAAATTCTAAGTCCTAAGAAGCAAAGTTCGAAGTGTGCAAAACAGACATTTAGTGAACTTAACAAAAAAGAAGCATAATAATGTAACTGTTTGTCTGGAAAATTCAGTCCAACATTTATTGAATTCTTTTATTTACAAGATACAACAGATCTCTACCATACAGAGGGTACAGTGGCTTATTTTAAAGTCTTTTCACAGCTGTTACATGAAGAAAGGGGTGGGAGACGGAAGTAGTCAGCCTCTTGATTGAATTGTAGAAGGTTGTTCAAGTGCTTTGCACCAGCATGCTGAAGAACCTGCATGTATCATGGTTCTTAGTATCTTCTGCTTCTGTTAGGTCCATACTGTTTCTGTTCTATATTGTGCCCATCTTTGTATGAAATATCTCCTTGGTATCTCTAATTTGATCTCTTGTCTTTTCCATTCTATTGTTTTCCTGTATTTCCTTGATTTGTTTACTTAGGAATGCTTTCTTATATCTCCTTATATATATCTTTCTTATATTTTTTGGAAATCTGCATTCAGATGGGTATATCAGATGAGTATATTCAACCTTTATTTGTATATTAGTTTCACCAGAGTCCTTGTTTCAGTGCATCCTCTGATGAACCTCATAATGGTGCTATAACAGAAATTACTGTATGCATAAGCTGGAAGAATAACTAATAACTAAATAAGAACACTCTTTTCCACTCCTGTGGTCACTGCTGAGTTTTCCAAATTTGCTGGTGTATTGCGTGCAGCACTTTCACAGCATCATCTTTCAGGATTTGAAATAGCTCAACTGGAATTCCATCACCTCTACTAGCTTTGTTTGTAGTGATGCTTTCTAAGGTCCACTTGACTTCACATTCCAGGATGTCTGGCTCTAGGTGAGTGATCACACCACTGTGATTATCTGGGTCGTGAAGATCTTTTT